CCACCAAATAAGTAGCTTTTTCAAACTAAATGAATTTTTTTTATTTCAAGATAGTTTTTCTCTCAGTGTATACTTTATGCACATATACACTCCCTCTTGGGAAAATGTGTAAATGCGTACGTACGCGTAGTGCGAGCGAAAGAGACAGACTCGGAGGTTTTGCGCAAACCAATCACATATACGTGTATATATGTACGTAGGCACGTTGTCATTTTGACTCTTTGACATCCCCCCAAGGGGTTGATGCTTCGAGGTGGCGATTGTTTTCCCCCCCTGAAGGAGAAAACTGTAATCGCCGCGATGGGTTTCACACTAAACGCAGCCTATCCTAAGAATAAGTCGTCTTTGCTGTTAAAAGTTGAAAATTGTGTTAGAAAATTGTGCCATAAAATTGCGTTAAAGTGTATGTAGCGGAAAGAGAGAGGGAGAGAGAGACCTGCGGACAAAACTAGCGAGTGTATTTGTGCATCAAGGATCAGCGCTGCGTTTAGCCTGACGGCCCGAAGAAGGAAAGAAAAATCGTTCGTGCCATATCCGTGATGCAAATGAAGAGAGAAAAGTCACAAGTGACATTACACGTGCACGTGTGAATCTCCCCCGTCCTCCTTTCAACGTCCTCGTGCTGCAAATCTCCTAATCGTTATCACCCGGCTCTCGCACTTTTCGACTGAAGCATCGTCTTCAGCGGTGCTCGATGCACAAAATTCAGGGATAAAAGCCTTGCAACGATTCTAACGTTACAGTAATTTCAATTATTTTAAAACAACTTTGTTATACGTGCTAAAAAATTCGCTAAAGTTGTATACTTTAATTAAAATTCCAGAAATTCAAGTACAACTTTAATTTTAAAAAAAATTTTCTGCAGAAAAGTTTCTCTTCTACATCGCCTAATCATCAAGAAGCTTTGCAAATCAAAGGAAAAAATTAAAGGAGCGAGATAATTACGCGTATCATCGAGCTTTTTGAGACTCGGGTGAGAAAGATCTCTTCTCTTTCGTGCACTTCGAGTACGATTCTTCGAGCATCGTTTCCGTAGTTAGTCGGCAGCAAAACCCCCTGATGCATTCTCGTCTTTGTAAAAAACTTGTAAAAAATTTCTAAAAAATTTGTTATCGAAATGACAACGAAATCATTAAGCTATTCCCAAAAAAAGAATCGCGGCTGGTACATCAGGGGGCTGGCTGCCACCGCAGCAATTTTCCCACGTTTCTCCAATTAATATATGCACATAAATCCCCCGGCTTTCTCCCGTTTAATTGTCGTTTTTGCATGTATATCAGTCGTTTCAGCACCCATTAGAAAGTTGCCAGTCGCAGAGTGGGTAGAGTAGGCAGCGGCAGTAGGCAGCGCATTACAGAATAAAACGTGAGAGGACTGTAAAGAATAAAAACTGCAAGAAAAAGTTCATGACGCTCAAAAATGTACAAAAGTGTCTTTCTCTTTTTTTTTTTTGGCGGTGATATATGGTGGCAAGTAGAACAAACGGTATAGTAAATAGTAGTAAGTATAGTAATAGTAGTAATATAGAGTAAGTAGTAATAGTAGCAGCGGCAGCTGTGATATATAGTAGATAAAACAGTAATGGCAGTAAAAATTCAGTAACTATATAAGTAACGATGCTGGCTTGTGGTTGTAGTAATAATGATAATAATAAGACTAGTATATAGACCAGACAAGAATAATAATGATAATAATTACTGAGCATCAAAGATTAATGTAAATATATATATATATATATATATATATATATATATATATATGTACACACATGTCTATATATACGTAATACAGACTACTCCCGCAAGAAGACTGCTACAATTCAAAAAGAGTGTAATTTTGTTGGTTTTTCTCAGCTTTGTATTTATGAAACACTACTATGTTAAAGTTGGAAAAATATCTAAACATGTAAAGTACGCGAAAACATGACAACATAAGCGAAAATATGACATGCTGTCCAACTATTCTAGATAGAGAGATACGCGCTTTGCGTGAGATGTCACTTTTTTTTTTTTTTGATTTGCAGTAATGTTCTTCCAGGAGTGCGATATAATGTACGTGTAAGATCGATTAGAATTCAACTAGCTGATTAAGATTTAAGCTTCGTCGACTCTAATGCGAAACATTTCTTCAATTCCGTCACCGAAACCGCGCGTTGATGGGGATAAATCCTTCCCGTCCCGCCTCGTCCCGCTCCTCTCGCAAGCGATTTCGTCGACGAAACTTGCTTTTCGCTGAGTTACAAAATGACTAAGGAACGATCGTTGCGAGATCGATGAGAAGGAAGAAAGTGAATCGCTTGATGCAGAATCTGATGCATAGCTTTTCTCCTCTCTAAGAAAAATCTAGACAAATTCTAGAAAAAAAAAAAAGAGAGAGAAAGAAGAAACGAAAGGTAGAGGAAATAAATGAGAAAAAATATGAAACAATGCACACATCGCGCGACAAATCTTACCGTTCTGCATCCATCGATTCAGCTGATGTCTAACTATTTTTCGCTGCGTAAGAGTTTCATTAAAGAGTTTTGGACGAAGACAAAATAAATAAAAATGTCGAAATAAAGTATCCTATAATAATTTCAAGCTCGCACGATTCCCGTAACAAATCGCAACAATCTCGTCCTTGTTCATTTATACGTGTATTCCATAATTAAACCATCGGGTGGATTTTCGCCAAGCGAACGTCAACCAAGTTGAAAAGAATTTCATTTTCCCGAGCGAGGCGCAGCAACGATAAAACCTAGCCCGAGGCAAATAGAGGCAGCCAGGAACAATGGAGATAGATAGACAGACAGACAGACAGACAAGATAGAGGTAGAGAAGAAAAACGAGAAAAAAAAACGAAAAAGACAGAAAAAAAAAGAAAGGAAAGGTATATCACGTTTCTATGCACAAACCGACGTACGAGTGACAATTCTATTCTATATATAATGCTATTCTACCCAAGTATTTAGGGAGAAAAAAGAAAAGAGAGAGATAGAGAGAGAGAGAAAAAGAGAGTACTACCGTTTAATCTACGAGAGAACATCTTCGAGGAGTTTCCAAAACGTATAAAACTTTTCAATCTCTATATCGTTCTAGTTTCTACGTCATTTGAGTCTTCTTCTTGTGGTATCGACGACGACGCGAAGCAGGTTCACAAACGATCAATATTAACAAATTCAGTTGCACATTTAAGATATAAACACCACATAATATTCACAACACAATATACAAGTGCCCCTTGCATTTACGATGTCTGGGTTACGATTGAAAAAGGAAGGCTAAAAAAAATAATAGTGATAGAGCGCGAAAGATGATGTGGGAAAAAAAAATGATGGAAGATACATGAAAAGACAATAGATGAAAAGAGAAGATAGATATACTATACTTGTACATAGGAAGAAAGAAAGAAGAAAGAAAGAGACAGGGAGGGGGAGAGGGGAGAGAGAGAGAGAGAGAGAGAGAGAGAGAGAGAGAGAGAGAGAGAGAGAGAAAGCGCACGCACGCAAGAGAAAAGATGAAGACAGATGGAAGATAGGGATGTGGCTTAAAAGAGATAAATACCATTTTAACGGGAAAAAAGGCGATAAGTCAAATATTAAAGGGAACGATCACACATGCGAGTTCTCACAACGATGCTTGTCTGTCTCGTTGACGTCTCAGTAATCCATATACACCTCAAGCCAGTGACAGACCACGACAGGATGACGACTGCAGCGAGGAATTATAAAACAACGACGAGGAGCTCTCGAGGAGAATAAAACTAGAGATAGTATAAGTAATAGAGACTTATATATATATATATATAAAGAAAGAGAAATATATATATATAGAGAGAGAGAGATAAAGAGGCTTTGCAATAAGAGATTGGCTTACCTTCGGCGAAATAACACTAATATGATCAAGGATCATCCTGATGAAAGCGTTTTTGTGACTATTGATATAAAAGGAAGAGAAAATGTTCTCGACAAGGAAAAACTTGCGATTGCCCGTCTCACAAATCGATCGTCTCTCGCGAAAAAATATATATGTATGCAAAAGAAATATATATTAAAAGATATATTACAAGTTTCCATTTTTCGTCAAGATAACGGAATAATATATTTGTCATTCGAGTTACATCTCTTCTGTAGAGTACAAGCTATTCTGACAAATGGAAAACGACAAATCGCGGACGGGCAAGCGTCTAATGTATAACGAGATTCAATCCAGCTTATTAGTTAGAGCGAATATAGAATATACGAATAGAGAGGAGAGATCGGACTGAAAATAAAGCTCGCGTGTCCCAGCAACCAAAACACCCGTTCAAGTCTGCGTGCACCATATCCCATCACTGTTACCTTATCCGCATTCTGTCCTAGCGTGTCCGACTCGACAACTCGATAGCGATAGGCTTGGCAAATTAATCCCCACATCGCGTGAATGTTATCGAGCGACCTTGGCAATAATGACCAAGATATGGTTTGCAATTTAAGAGAGAAAGGAATAGACTGAATCCTCTGCACTTGAGAAAAGAATATTTAAAAATGACAAGTGTTATACGATATCTGATTAATATTGTAAACGTCATTAAACAGGTGAAAGGGATCAATTTGCCCACGAATCGTTACCTAGTTCAGTTCCTGTCGTACGTGGATATCGAATGACAAGCGAGACTCGAGAAAGAGACGTGAACCGAAATGTCCGCGTCGTATTTTACGTTATACAATAGAAGATTGAATCAACTAACTACTAAAATTTAAAGTCGCCAAAAGAAAAATAAAAAAGAAGTGTATAGCCAATAGAAGAGAGAGCGATCGCCGTGTAATTGAATTTTCGAAGTTAGTATTTATATTAAAATGTTTCAACAGGTAGGCTTTTGCGTGAAAAATACGCATTGCGAAAGTTGGCGCAAAAGTTTTATCGATACTTTCATCAATCCGGACACTTCGAAAATACAGCGTATCATCACCGATGACTCTTTCGTATAGAAAATCTGCACGTAGCTTGTCAATATTTCGTTGTATGTTGTAGATGTGTTACCTTTCGTTAACTAGCTTGTCAGTGAAGGGGTTTCGTGGTTGTCGCTTCATAATATCGCTCTCTGCCTCCTCGTAGGCTAGCGAAATGGCGGGTACCTGATGTCACAGTATCAAAGAGCTCAGTAACAACGCCAACAATTAGATAACGAGTATGGCTTCCATGATGTTGAAATAAGAATGCTGACATATCTCGATTATTTTGATGAAAATAAAATTATTAATCTAATCTGGCCATTTTGCCAGATAATCCTACATAAAATTTATTAATAAATTGATGGATATTATAGTAACCGACTTGATATCGACAGCATTCTTACATTTACGATGAAGCATAGAGAATAAACAAAAAAATAATCAACTGAAAAATAAAGAAACCAAATCGATCAAGGAATTGATTTTGGGGGATATAAAGGGGGTTCAGAGGAAATTCGCGACATTAAATAGCTTTTTTGCAAAGATAATAGTAGCTGAAAAGAAACGTTTTTCAACCATGAGAGTATCTCTCGTTACGTAAATTTCTATTCCCTAAACTTTATCCATTTTTTTTTTCATTTAAAATTCCTATAGTAACTTTCTAACATGCTTTTGTTTCCACCAGCGCAATTGATCTAAAAGAAAGGAAATAAAAGTATAAAGATTATTAAAGAGATTTAATCGACGAGACTGTTGTCCACTAATGGAATGGAGCTGCACTGCCTCCATTGACTGGGTTTTGCCTTTAAAAGCGCATCTATCTATAAAGAAAAACAATATTGATGTGTTTTTGAGGAACTATAAATTTGTATCGAACAGTCTTCGTATCAGGCTCAGCACGCGCATCACGTTGGTACCTATCAATCATTATAAATGTCAAAGACCACCGGTATCTTTGAGAAACAGTGTTGTTGCCTTCGTAACTATATATAAGCTATTACATCATGGTGGACGGCGCAAACGCTGAAATAATTCGATTAATCCATAAAAAGAAGATCGAGTAGCGACTTTGGAAGAGCTTTCCGCGAAACATGGGCATCTCTTCGAAGTCGTCACTCAACCTTAATCTGTCGTTTCCATACGACATCTCGTGACTCACCATGTCGGTTCCCAGATCGATGCAGAGAATGGTGACGGTACCCAGAGGCAGAGGGATGTCGCAGAGGATAAACGCCAGGAAAGGCGAGATCTCGGGTATATTCGAAGTCAAAGTGTAGGCGATAGATTTCTTCAGGTTGTCGAAGATCAAGCGACCCTCTTCCACACCTGTCACAATCGAGGCAAAGTTGTCGTCGAGTAGAATCATGTCGGCCGCTTGCTTGGAGACATCCGAACCGGCGATGCCCATAGCGACACCAATGTCGGCCTTTTTCAGAGCGGGCGAGTCATTCACACCGTCGCCTACGAATAAATTGAACATGTGATCAATTGTTTCAATATTGCGCTGCCAATAATGGCACGACACTAGACGCTATCAATTGTGCAGATATAATTATTGTATAATATTATAGAATTTTCTCATATTTGACAATCAATCAATTAATTGAATTAATTGTTTCTTCATAATGGGATGCAAAGTAAAATATTTTTTATCGACAACTTACCAGTTACGGCGACAATCGCGCCCATCCGCTGGCAGCCTTCGACAATGATGAGCTTTTGTTGAGGCGAGGTACGGGCGAACACAATTTCGGTGTGGTACCTGAGAATCTCGTCCAATTGGTCGGAGTTGAGTTCCCTGAGTTCGGTTCCGTGGACGACCGCGGCTTTAGCCTCGCGAGGATTTACTTCGGATACTGGGATATTTAACCGTTGCGCAATATCCTCAACGGTCTCGTTACCTGATATGTGAAAATAATTAAACATTACTCAATGCTGTCTAAAATTGAATGTAGCAATTTCAATTAACTCATTGCATTTTAGTCATTTTTATAATAATATTGGAGAAATATTTTAATTTTTATCCAGCTCTCTTTTCATAGATACTGCACAGAATTTTGCAATATTAATGCTCGACGAAATTGGGTAAAATTTGTATCATCCTGAAGGGAGACACTGTTGCTATCGTATATATTATTAAAGACAAATAGAACAGTTGTAAAATATATATTGTCATGAATTAAATAGTTAAATATATTTAATTTTTATCTAGCTCTCTTTTCGTAAATACTGCACAGAATTTTGCAATATTAATGCTCGACGAAATTGGATAAAATTTGTATCTTCCTGAAGGGAGACACTGTTGCTATCGTATATATTATTAAAGACAAATAGAACAGTTGTAAAATATATATTGTCATCAATTAAATAATTAAATATATTTAATTTTTATATAGCTCTCTTTTCGTAGGTTCTGCACAGAATTTGGCAACATTAATGCTCGACGAAATTCGATAAAATTTGCATCATGCTGAAGGGAAACACTGTTGCTATCGTATATATTATTAAAGACAAATAGAATAGTTGTAAAATATATATTGTCATCAATTAAATAGCTGGATACGTCGCATCCTTTTTACAACGCGAACCTTGCATATCTTCCAATAAAACGCCCCAAGTTCCATGTGTAAATAGGATCGTCGTAAATCTTAAGCGTAGCCTATTATCTGAAATTACGCCTCATTAAGAGATTAAACTCATAAAAGCATTATAATCGAGAGCGACGAACGAGGTCTCGGAGATACTGCAGCCGGTATCTAATCACAAACGTCATCTGACAGCTGTCATCGCGGTTAAGCATGTCGATACGACATGCAGCGTGCAAAGTATGTACCTTCAGAGATGATGCCGACAGATTTGGCAATGGCTTTGGCAGTGATCGGATGGTCACCGGTAACCATGATGACCTTGATGCCGGCGGAACGGCACTTGGCGACCGCGTCGGGCACCGCTGCCCGTGGCGGGTCGATCATAGACATCAGGCCGACGAAGCGGAGCCCCTCAACCGGGAAGTTGGCATCGTCGGAGTTGAATTTGAAGCCGACCGGGAACTTGTCGGACGGCAGTATGAAGTCACAAAAGCCGAGTACTCGTTCGCCGAGTCCGCCCAATTCCAAGTACGCGTTATTGAATGCCTCTTTCATCTCCTCGTCGAGAACCTACAAAGATATAGACGAGTATAGAAGATGAAAAAGAGATCGATAGATAATTTACTTGTAAGATAAATTACCTTCTCTTTGCCGCCGATAAATATAGTCGAGCACCTGTCCAGAATTCTCTCGGGAGCCCCCTTCATTACCAAGAGATACCTGCTATCGTTAGGATCGTCCGACTCGTGTACGGACACTTGATATTTGTTAGTGGAATTGAAGGGAATTTCGCAGACTTTCTTGTTACGTTTCCTAATGCCCATGACATCACCCAGCGCGAGTTCCATGCACTTGAGCAGCGCGGCCTCGGAAGCGTCACCGTTTACTTCTCGCTTCAGAATTGGTTCACCCTCTTGACCCGGCTTGAACTCGGCGCGATTGCACAATGTCGCAATCTTGGCTAGCGCCTTGAATCCCGGACTGGTACGGTCGTATTGCAAGCCGGACTGATCCTCCGTGGTGTCGGCGTCGATGATCTGATTGTCGAACCACATATGCGCTACCGTCATACGATTCTGCGTGAGAGTTCCCGTCTTATCCGAACAGATGGTCGAGGTTGAGCCCAGGGTCTCCACGGCCTCGAGATTCTTCACCAGGCAGTTCTTCGAAGCCATTCGCTTGGCGGTCAGAGTGAGACATACAGTCACGGTAGCGAGGAGGCCCTCCGGTACGTTCGCAACGATGATACCAATTAGGAAGATGACGGCGTCAAGCCAATGGTAACCCAGGATAAAAGCTATGACGAAGAATGTGACGCCGAGGAAGACAGCGACACCAGTAATAAGATGTATAAAATGATGTATCTCCTTGGCGATCGGCGTTTCTCCTGTATCAAGGCCGGATGCGAGACCCGCGATCCTTCCCATCACCGTTTGATCGCCGCAGCAAATCACTACACCTTTAGCCGTGCCTTCCACCGCATTCGTTGAGAAGAATGCGAGATTCTTCGTTTCGAGCGGATTCTCATTTGTGAACTCGGGTGATCTCGATTGCGGCTCGGATTCGCCCGTCAGCGAGCTGTTGTCCACTTTGAATCCGCGAGACTCGATAATCCTGATGTCGGCCGGTATCCGATCGCCGAACTTGACGTCGACGACGTCGCCGAGCACGAGATCCTCCGCCCGCAGAGTGACTTTCTCACCTTCTCGGATCACGGTGGCGAATTGCGGCACCATGTTCTTGAACGACTCCATGATCTTGCTCGACTTGCTCTCCTGGTAGTACGAGAATATACCCGTCACTATCACGACCGCCGCGAGGACGATCCCCAGGTAGAGATTGTCGTCGTTCGGGTCCTCGCTGGTCGTGGCCTGAATTGAGTACGCGATGAAGCAGAGAATCGCGCCGATCCACAATAGGAGGGCGAAACCGCCGAACAGATTTTTGCAGAACTTGACCCATTCCGGAGTTTGCTTCGGCGGCGTCAGGGCGTTTGGCCCATCCCTCTCCAGGTTCTCCTTTGCTTTCGCGTGGCTGAGGCCCTGTTTTATCACATACATGTTACATATTTTCTTTTATATTATTATATTATTCTTATATATTTTATTATTATATTATTTTATATTATTCTTATACAGGGGGTTTCAGACCATCCATTTAAAAAATAGAGAAGTGGTTATTTCAAAACAGTAAAAACATTTTCTTTATAAATCGGGTGCACTCTATCGAATGGTGATATTTTCAATTTCTGGTTCCGACCGGAAATAGGCGATTCAGACCGGAAGTGCATTTTTAAAAATGGAACCTCCTATTTTTCATTGCATATTCTTGTAGCTTACCTCGAGAGCTTTCCAAAACACTATAATAAATTATTTATCCATAAAGTACTTTTCGAGTTATGAAGCTTGAAATTATTTCTTAATTTGACATAAACCATAAAATATCTTGTAAAATATTCATTTTTCGATTATCTTACCTTAATACCTTGTAAGTACAAAATAATGAGAGGAATCAAGTGTTGTAAAAAAAACACATAATTGTTTCTAAAAAAAAATATGTAATTTGCAATTAACAATTCCATATTTTTTCTTAAAAACAACTGTATGTTTTCTTTATACCAATTGATTCTTCTCATTATTTTGTACATAAAAGTATTAAGGTAAGATAATCAAAAAATGAATATTTTACAAGATATTTTATGGCTTATGTAAAATTAAGAAATGATTTCAAGTCTCATAACTCGAAAAGTACTTCATGGAAAAATAATTTATTATAATGTTTTGGAAAGCTCTTGAGAAAAAAGCTCTCGAGGTAAGTTACAAGAATATGCAATGAAAAATAGAGGATTCCATTTAAAAAAATGCACTTCCGGTCTGAATCGCCTATTTCCGTCCGGAACCAGAAGTTGAAAATATCACCATTCGAGCGCATCCGATTTATAGAGAAAATGTTTTTACTTTTTTGAAATAACCACTTCTCTAGTTTTTAAATGGGTAGTCTGGAAACACCCTGTATATTATTTTAATTATTTTATATATTATCTTTTTATCGATCAGTTCTTTCTTCCCCAACATATATTATTTTTTTTTCTTTCGTGTGCTCTTGTCCCAACATTAATAGATTACTTAGCCGCTTATTCGATATCGTTTAGCACCATTTTTTCTCAAAAGATCTTTGTCATCTTGATGTTACTTACGTTTTCGGGGTGCGTTTGAAATCTTTGATACAGTTCCTCGGGTGAAATTTTGTGGAAGTCAATGTCCAACTCCTGCTTCAGGTCATCTAGGTTGTCCCCCCTCCGCTTTGGATTCTTTCGCCGCGACTGTTAACGGGAACAGAAAGCAAGATAGGACGTTATCGAGAGATATATTTCCGATCGTGTAGTCGGCATATCGATGCTGCGTGTGTGTGCACACACAACCTTAATACAGCTATAAATTACAAAGCCCCAAAGCAATTACACCCGCGCGTTGATCTGAATGTACTCTGATCACCGACCAAGTAGAGAAGAAGATAATCAAAGCGCATCGAATTAGAGAAGATTGAAATCCACCGACGAACGAGGACAGGCAACAGAAGAGAGACCGACTGCAAGGATATCGCCAAGAGACGGTATAATGATGTCTCGTATACCGTAAAATGATAGGATTGCACTAGAATGACAGGAATGTTGAACGTCATGCGACATCGGCGAAAATAATTGATGAATAATGAAAATTCAGCGTGGACGATGATAAGATAAGAACATGGAGATCATTTGACAAGTTCAGCGAATTTTTTTCTTTGTCTTTTTTAACCCATTCAGACCTGATTTTTTTCTGTAATGTAAAACATTATTGAATTAATTTTTATTGATGCTAAGGGTTTAAAACGACGAGATATATATATTTTTTTTTCCACCGAGAGATCGCAGGGAAACTAATTCCAAAAAATAACTATTTCAAATGATTTTAAAGTTTTTGTGCATAATTGTGCACATAGAGTCTGAATGGGTTAATATAAGTCCAATAGTTTTAGTGCGTTTTTCCTTTGTCTTTTTTAATGTAAGTCTTATAGTTTTAGTGCATTTTTTCTTTGTCTTTTTTAAGGATGTTTCGTATGTCACAATTTCGACAAAAAGTAACTGAAAATCAATATTGACGAATATATCCACTTTTGGTGTATTTTGAGTAATTGTGAAATATTACAATTTGATCTTAGCTAGTGTAGAGATGTATTTTTTAAATATTTATTGCGTTTTTATTGAAATATTTCGAATTTTGAAAATCGAAATGATTAACTTTTGGCAGAGAATTTCATCTTGTGACAGATACATGGCTAACTTCATTGAATTATATTTAATATCTTTTTAACCAGTTAGTACTTGTATAATATATTATTTGACCAAATATTTCCTCTGTATCTAAACTTTTGCAAATTGTCAACAAATTCTGAATATTATTTCCATGTGTTTTTGTCATTTCAATCGATGTGGTTATACGTCCCATAAGAACACATGCTAATTCGGTGCAAATTAAAATCCTTATAACTTGTGAGAGAATCGATTTAAAAATTATACTGAAGATTCTAAACATGTGTAAGAACATTCTGTACAATTTTCATTAAATTCTCAATATTTTAAAAATAGGTACAAAACATCCCTAATGTAAATCCAATAGTTTTAGTGCATTTTTCTTTGTCTTTTTTAATGCAATGTAAAGTCCAGTTTTAGTGCAATCCTATCTCATTCCATTCAACCATTAAATAAATAATAGTTTTCTTAAAAGAATTCAACATATCTAGACTTTCGACATATATTGCGATTAAAATGTCGCAATCGAAGCCTGATCAAGCAGAATTCTTTTAACATGCGTTAAGGTGTTTATGAGAATCGATATCAAAACAGAAACGTGATACCATGAAATGATAGGAATCCGGAAATAATGGAATGAAGGGATAAGGAAAATCTTCTTTGAATAGATTTACTGAAGCATAGTTAATGAAGAGAAGCGTTACGACGAATAGACGTTGTTACCTTAAGAAAGAAACGATGGAATTACAAAGATCAGCATAAAGGAAGCGATAAGAGACAGACGGCGAAAGAGAGATAGAGGAAATAGAGAAGATAGAGAAGAGAGATGGACAGAGAGACAGAACGAGAGCAAGAGAAATCCCTTTATCCCGATCGAGAGGAGAAGCGCAGATCCAGACCCAAAGTATAAATATTGCGTAGAAATTGTGCGCGGACGTACAGTCTGCACCTCTGAAATATACCTTATACATCCCATCTGCGGTTTTGTTGTCGTCGCGAATGTTGGGTAACGTGGCGACCCTGTATGAGTCTGAGCGGCCATGCTGCTGTAAAAAAATGGGCGATAAAAAAATCATAAATACATCATGCGGGACGCAACAAAATACAAAATAAATCAGTATATAATATATGCATTATGATAAAATTATATATCTCGAAAATGATGCGTGACATGTGTGGAGTTTCTCGCGTGTATCTGTGTCTCTCGCGAATTGGACTGCTGTTTCCCTCGAGAATCGAGCACCTTGAGGCTCAAACGAGAGTTTCCAAATTTCGAGACTTTCCATGCGAAATTTTAGACATGTCACTTTGACAGCAAACGACCGCTCGATAGCGTCGATTTAAATGGACCAGTTTTCCCACAGCACCCGCGGTCGTATCGGGCGCAATCGCGACCTTCTCATGAAAGAAAGAGAGAGAGAGAGAGAGAGAGAGAGAGAGAGACACGTGGCCGGCGCGCATTTGACACGTGACATCGCGGTGAGAGAGAGACGGAACAGAGGCCCGATTTTCAAGAGCGACCTCGGCGCGACCGCGTTCGGATAACGACCACTTCCGGTAGTGCATGCCGGTTCAATGGAGACTCGCCAGCGTCGACTATGCTGAATGCTCAATGGTAATCGGGTCCCGTAATCGCGATTACGAGAACCCACGCGACGGTACAGTCGCCATCAACCTTTGTCTCCGCGGAAATAAAATTGCTCGTACATTTTCCTCAAGTAAACAAAAAAACATGAGACGGAGTGATTTGTTCCATTAGCTCGGAAAAAAGATGCTGCGATCTAGTTTTTCTCTTGAATACATTATTATAAACTTGATCCTTGGAGTTATTTATGAAATTCCACATCTTCATCAGGATGTCTATTTAAATTTTGTAACAAACAAATTTTCTGAAAGTTTCCTGATTTTCCTAAGGTATTTTTCTTTAAAATTCCTATGTAAAAAGAAGACTTTTTTAAAGATATTTTAATGCAACTTTCTAAAATAAAATCAAGTTTCAAATAGATTATTAGATTTGTAAATATATTGGGAAAAAAATGAATTACTTTTGATCGAAGCATTTTTTCTCGCATAAAATTTTCTTTTTATCATTGAAAATTACAATGAAGAATATGTACTACGTATTCAATATTTTATTAGGACATTAAATTATGTGATCAGAGATATATATTTATAATAAATATTAAATACACACACATTTAATTTACAACTTGCCTTATCGGTAGATTATTATATGATATAACATGAGAGATTATATTATAATGTAACATGATATAACATGATATTATAATTTAAGTAGTGTAATACATTATATAATATACATACTAATTATAATATAATCATATTATATTATTATAATATATTATGCATAATACATTATATTATACTACATAATTGTGTAATAATAATAATAACAAATATTTTAAGATTTTTAAATTTATTATATAGTGCTTGATATTTTGGAGAGGAAACATTGGTTCAGAATTGAATTAAAACAAATACAATTCATCTGTTTGTTCCTGTAATATAATAAATTTGCGAGATCAATTGGAATATAAAATGAGAAATAAATGATTTACAAGTATCGTATTTATAATAAATATTATCAGAAAAAAATATATAAAAATAAATATTAAATTTACGACGATTAAATTGAATATACCTTTCCTAAATATCATCTATATTATTTTTTACGGTTATATTTAGCCATAATTTTCCTAGATCTCACCTATATTATTTTTTACGGTTATATTTAGTCATAATTTTATAAGAATATATAAAGATGTATATATATATATATATATATATATATATATATATATATATATATAGATACAGGGTGTCCCAAAACTCATAATCAATCTTCCAAAGACAAATTCCTGGGATCATCCGAAGACAATTTTTCCTCAACGAAAATGTCGACGCACTAATAATTTTCGAATTATAAATGATTGAAAATAAGGGGTTTTTCGTAAACTAAGCTTTGTAGAAATAAAGTATTAACAAAACCGCATTCTTCGATTAATTTTAAATAGAGTTTACTTTAGTTGAGTTTTAATTTAAGGCTTAATTGCAAAGATATATGATGACAAAAATCGGGAACATGCAAAAAATAATAGCCTTCATCGACATTTTCACTGAGGAAAAATCGTCTCGAAACGATCCCAGGAATCTGTCTTTGATAGATTGATTATGAGTTTCGGGACACCCTGTATATATATAAGGATTAAGTGACAATTTAATGACGCACGTAATTTATAGAAATATATAAAAATATATAAAAAATGTATAATATGTAAAAGTATCCTTCAATGATATCATCGACCATGAAAACCGGCAATATTCTCACGTATGTACCGGATGTATTAACTGACGAAACGCGAGACTCGTGACGCGCTTTACACGCGTGCAATTGCTGCACGCGGTCGTTAATTCTGTCACGACGGCTCGTTACGGCCGGCGATTAGATAAAAGACCAACGAGTCGACAAATTGACGATTACGATCGGAAAAAAAAAAAAAAAGACTCCAACTTCGTGAGTTACGTGTCCGGTTTACCGGTGTCGCCGTGTATATGTAAACGATCAATTTCGCAGGTATTATTATCTCTGGTCCATCGTCATTCGCTCACCTCGTCATTGAGGAAGTCACGATTATGCAATTTGGTCACAATATACGCACTTTGCTGATTGTCCATATGATTAAGCGTACAATTTGCGCAAAGTTCGAGGTAGCTAGAGGAAATTTTCTCAGTTTGATCTCGAAAAATTAGTAATTCGGTTCTAGATTGCTTCAAAATTATAATATAATAGGATATCTACTCTAAATCTTGAAAAAAAAATAAACTTCCTAAGAAATTTTTGATTTGAAGAGAATATTTTAGGGATTTTTTTTTATATAATTTTCTAAAAAAAATGTTCTTCATTGCATGTATTTTCCGACACTTTTTCTTATATAAAAGGAAAACACAGAGTCATTTGTTCACTTGTTTACTGCATTTGAGTTTCAAATGCTACATTTACATACATACTATAAAGAAATTGAATAGCTTTTAAGGTAAGTATTTTTCTTGTATAACACTTTCATTTTTTTATCACTGAAAATTATATAATAAAAATATATACCTGTATTCAAATATTTTATTAAGACGTTGAAATATATAAAGAGATAAATAGATATTTATAATATATATTAAACATATATAATTCACAACTTGGTTTAGCAAAATTAAATTTTTAGAAGAGGAAATTTTTTAAAAAATTTCCTGAATCTTAATAAAATTCCATACGAATACTTTGATTATTTCAGATACAAAAAAGCTGTAAGAATTCCAAGTCTTCTGTGTTTTTTCAGAAAATAAATATCCAAAATATATAATAATAATTTAAATTTATAGTATTTTAAAAGAAATTAATCCGAAAAAAAATTAATCTCTGTGCTTTTTAGAAAATATTATACCAGTGAAAATTTTTAGAAAATCATATCAGTGTCATATCGAGAGATATATTCTCACTCATAGCGAACGTTGCGTTTATGCAAAGTACAAACGTACATGTACGCCCCCGCAGGATGAACGCGATTTCGACCTTATGCAAATTTGCGCGGGTCGCCATCATTCGCGAGTAGACGGATCGAGTTAACAGTCGGCGGCCCGCTAAAAGCGGAAGTGGTCGAGCTTTGGCGGCGGAAAGCACGTCGGGTCTCGGTGATTAGATCGCTTTCTGGGATCGCGTTCGTTACGTAGCCCTTACGAAACGCCTTTGCATCGTACACGTTTCCATATTTTGAGGCAACACAACAAACAACGTAATAAAACCATTTTGAGATTTTAGTATCAAATATATATATATATATATATATATGTATATATATATATATATGTGTGTGTGTGTGTGTGTGTGTGTGTGTGTGTGTGTGTGTGTGTGTGTGTGTCTTTTGTTCTCTATATTTTAGTATGAAAACAAAATCCCTTGTATGGAACATAAATTTTATCTTGCTACCATTCAATCCAATACAAATAATATTTATTATGATGCGTACAAAATTTACTTTTTCTTCTAAAAAATTATAATTTTTTTTATCTCTATATCTATTCCATACATGTATAAGTTTATACATTTTAGAATTATAAATTATATACGTAATATAAATTATTTAAATATTAATCATATTAAACATAATTATTAAAATATTAAATTATTATTTATTATAAAATATTAATTTTATATATACAATTAATATTATATATTTGGTAAATTACATTAATATTTTATATGCAAAATTTTCTTATCGTTTAAGGGAAAATAAATCAATTTTATTCTGTATGTGTCAAAATAACTTAAAATGTTTTGTACTTAAATATTCACTATTTCTTCCTTTCAAGTAACTTGTATATTATAACAATTATAAATTCCAACATGTGGACTTTTTTATTTTAAGAAAAATAAATGAATAAATTAAATGAAACCATGAAACATGACCTATGCCCATCCTTAATCTTTTCTGGCTAGACACAATTATTAAAATTGATTTGAAAGAAAGGGACGCGCGATATTTTAAAGCCACATCGAGGGAGGCATTGACTTGAGTCATTAAGGATTAACTTTCAACGATCGCGCCGCGGCGCCGGCGGCGACGTCGGCGTCGACGTCGACGGCAATCGCGACGACGCGGCGATAGCGACGTCGCGTGTCGTCGCCAGGGTCGGCTCGCGACACATTGGCACCCCCCCTTCGAGTTCGTTCGATTGATTCGCGACAGGAAGATTAAAAGTTCTCCTGGAAGTAGCCAATGGAATCCAAATGCGTACACGTACTATTTTAATCGATCACTTCATCGCATGAATATAGAAAATAAAGCCTCCCCTTCCTCGATCTTAATTCATGATAGCTCGTGACAGGACATTCGCGGTGATGTTTAAGGATATTTTGTATGTACAATCCCAGTAAAAAGTAGCTGAAAATCAATATTGACGATTATCCACTTTTGGTGTATTTTGAGTATGAGAAATTGTGGAATATTACAATTTGATCTTACCTACAGTGCAG